TAGCTCATCTCTGTTAATAACTTATATGACATAAACTTTTCTGACTATTTCAACAAGTTCATATTCACCTCTTCCATAGTGCCAGGTACTGTGGACAGAATGAGGGATAAGACAAGGAACTCTGCCCTGCAAACTCAAAGACAAGATGATAGACTGACCCTCAGAAAGGTATCTAGATTTTTCAAGGACAAGAGCAATGCCTAAACTTTCTCTGTTATTAAAGCAATCATAGCTCTTACGGGTCCCAGAATCTTCATATGTAAAAACATAGAGATGGAGTGTATGAACAATAGGGCTCATGCTACATCAAAAACTCCATTGTTATGATTACAAAAAGTGGACAACACAATTAGAAAGGAAAAGATGAATAAAGTGGAAAAAATAGAGAGAGAAAGAGGGAGACAGAATGAGCCAAAATAAAGAATGGATTTCATGGAACCACAGTCTCAGGCGAAGAATGTCAAAGTGAAGTTGTCTTAGGCTAAAACTTTAACAAAAATAATATGAAGAAAGACGCTCAAGTTTCAAAAGGACCATTTATTTGACATACGTGGTAGTTGATTACTGAGGGAGCTTTTCAAATCATGTCGCTATGGCCAGAAAGCCATGCAAAAAAGCTATCACTTTTTTAAGAATCGAAAGGAAGACAGAGACAAAGAAACTGAGGGAGGAATATACTAACTAGAGCCCTGCAAACCTACAGATAGACACAAAATGATGAGGGCAGCAGGGAGAGGGACGGGTAAACTCACCTAGTGGTCACAATGGAAGTGTGTATAGCACAACCCCTGGGTCAAGGGTTCAACTACATGAACTTGACCTAATGAATGTAAACAAAGTAACCTAATCACTGGTACCCTCATGTTCATCTGAAATTTAAAAAAAAAAATTGCTTATATACGATACTAAATTTTCCTTATATAAGATATTAGTTGGCTATTTTGAACTCCACATGAACTTGATGGACACTCTATAGTCTATTAATTTGAAATTGTTCATACACCACTTGCAATAGAATGTCTAGACTAGAACATCATGTTAGTTCAATAATAAATGTAGAGTGAATATTTAAATGTTGAATAAAAGGAACTGCTAGGGGCTAGGGATAGCATCATTCCTGAATCTCCTCCGTGAACAGAAAATAAGAATGGAAAAGACGTGGGAATTGTCTTCCCCTGAGGACACGCGGTATCTTCAGCAGAATTACTTTGACATTTTTCATTACTTTGCAATGTGTACATTCTAATTAGAGGAGCCTATGAAGAGATGGGAAGTAAACAAACAAAAACAATGGCAAAGTTTGATATTAACTAAAGACAGAAATTTTTTTGTTGGTATTTGTTTGTTTTTTGGACAGAGTCTTACACTATCCACCTGGGTAGTATGCTGAGAGGTCATCACAGCAGGCTCAAACTCTTGGGCTCAAGCAATCCTCTTGTTTTGTTTCAACCTCCTGAATAGCTGGGAATACAGGAGGCTGTCAGAATGCCCTCAGGTAGTTTTTTCTATTTTTAGTGGAGACAGGGATCTTGCAATTGCTCAGGCTGGTCTTGAACTCCTCACCTTAGGTGATCCATCTGCCTCAGCCTCCCAGTGTGGTAGGATTACAGGTGTGAGCCACCGTGACCAGCTGGCAAAACTTTTTAAAAAGAAAAACACATGCCATTGAGAATTGGTGTTTAAGTATTCTGTACATTGCCATGAAAACATTTCTGTAAGATTTTAGGAGGAGGGAATATTGCCATGAATGTTAGGGAGTGTGTTCTCTTGGATTTGAACATTGGAAGTTATAATGTTAAGGTAAGTTCCCAACCTATAGTCTCGTTTCTGTAAATTCTGTAAATCATAATTACTTGCTAATTTTTTAAGCAGTCTTAGCACACACAAAGGAGATAATTAGAAAAAATCATGTGCAAAATTTAGTATAAACCCTCTTTTATCAGAAATACTCTATGTGTTGGTTGCATTTGGATCATGTAGAGAAATTCTTTTCTTACTATCTAGTGGATGTATTTTTCTTAACTAGATGTCAACTATACCTTGACATATATTTGAGGTAAGCCTTAACTCATGAGGATGGTTTTCTTTAAACAGTCTGTTTAAAACCATATGACCTCAGAAGGAAAAAAAATAAGAGAGCCATATCCTACCTCACACATGTAACTTTAACTTTCAACAATGCTTATAGGGCTATGCTTGTGTTAGCAACACAAGATTTCGTGTTTTTTTAACTTATTAAATAGGTTAGATGTAGATTATTAATTAGATTCCCACAGAAAATTTCTGTATATGAACTTTAACCTGTGGAAAATTGGTAAATAATTTCTTTGGCCAATTGCTGCGCTTTAACTTTAGGATATTTAAAAACATAATTAAATCATCTTTAAAAATTAGTTGAAGACATAATACACAGAATTTCTTCCCTAAGTACATTTTCAGGATGAATTTCATAGTGAGCAATTGGAAATTTCTTCAGTAAAATGTCACACAGACTAGTAAATTAGCATCTGTGAATTCAGTTCTGGAAAATTTCTGACTCACAGTGGTTGGGTCCAAGTGTATTATTTTTCTTTGCTTACATTCCTTTCTCAAATGACTGGGCAAGCTTATCATAGGACCAAATTATTTAGTGTCAAAACCATAAACAAGAATTCAGGATAGAACTCAATGTATTTGATGCCTCTTGTATGCCAAGAACATAGAAAAGGCATGGAATGGGCACTCCTATACTTTAGTCTGATAATCCTCACAATAATTCTATTTATTATCAAATAATGAAATTAAGGTTTAAGCTAGAGGACGTATGTATCTTTTCCAAGGTCACATATCAAGTACATAGAACAGTGTGGAATGAACATATTGTTCTTATATTAAAACTACTGCTTTTGTGTTTATTCCACACTGCCCTTTATAATATTATAGATTAGTTCTCAGAAGCCATACCTTGATTTGAAAATTGTGTATACTCAGTTTGAATCAGACATTGCTTTGAGAGAAACCAACGGAGTTTGCTTAGCATAACCTGCTTTTACAATATCTGCAAGAATTATTTTAATGTCTTTTAGTAAAGCACTTTATTTACATGAATTGCTAGATCTATATCTTCTCAAATCCGTGCATTTTTATCATCCCCTATATAACTTTAGCATCAGGTAAAAATGGTAATATATTAAAGAAAAAAACATACCATGAAGAATAGGGATTAGAATTTATATCATCCTTAATTCCAATATTTTACTCATGATAACATACTTCTCAATAGCACAGGCCATAATTATTATTTATATATGAACTAAAATCCCCCCACTTTACCTATTATTTTCATGTTACCAGCTTTAAAGTCTATCTACAAAGAGGTTAACCTAGAATCATAGTCCTATAAAAAATGAGAAGAGCATTTCTCATTTTCACAAACTTCAAAAACGCTGTGAATTTGACTTAATCCTTTTTCCACGTGGCTAATTTTTAATCATCTTGGGTGGTAGAAGGATGATGTTAGCTCATAGGTCTTTGAAAATAAATCAACAGTAATTAACCCTACCTTTAATTCTAGTAGGCCAGCTCATACATCAACAGAAGTACCCTGTGTATTTGAAAATACAAATAGGGCATGTCTGACATTTTGGAGCATCCTTAGAGAAACATTGATTTGTAATTCAGATCACATAGCATCTTTGATTTTGCCCACTTGCCCATGCCCTTTCCCCACCCCTTCCCCCAAAATAAAGCACAAAAGCTTTATCTGGAATGGATGGAGAGCAACCCAGGAATCTGTGCAGAGACTATCCATCACATTTCTGTCTTAATTGAATGACACCAGAATGAGATCGATAAAATGTAACAAGAGACAGCTTTGCATTTCCACACTCACTTATTCCCCCTCTCCATTACTCTCAGCCACTGCCGTGACCAGAAAGCCCAAGCAGAGAGCACGAACCCTGCTGCCAGCTGAGCTGTTAGGATATGAATAAACTTGTCAGAGAAACAACAAAACTTAGAAACGTTAGACAGGAACTGGGGAGAGAAAAACGCTATTAAAGGAACATCAAATAGGCTTCTTTATGAAAACAATTTCATAGATGTATTCTCGCTCCCAAACAACCTCCTCAAATGCAAATCTCAACAGCTCTCCCTATGCCCCCAAGATTTCTTGAGACTGAATTTTGGCTGGCTCAAAGACAGTTGTGGTTGACAACTCAGCTCAAACCTGTTAGGCCTACAATAAATGCAGGGCAGCTGTGATATGTGTATGTTCAAGGTTCCTGAGATCTCCAATGCATTATTGATAACCTCATCACTCCGCTAAAAGCAAAGGCTAACATTGTTATAGTCTCAAGCTTCTCCTGAAGAGCTCTGGCTTTGCCTGGGTATTGATCACAGGAAGAAGTAAACCAGAGAGCAAAACTGTGATGTAAAATCAAGAAGGTTAAGAATTGCCTGTACTCACTAGGAGTGTGTTAACCAAAACCACGTGGCCTACTGTGGGGGTTTTATACTTTGACAGTTTACAATGTGCTCATACTATTAAACTAGATGGTGCAACAATTAATTTAATATTCCACATCTTGAGCTTGTTAGAAGTTATCCCTGAAACAAAAGCCTGTATTATAAATCAAGATAAAAAGAAGCTTTCCATGGTCGTTTTTTTCATTGTATATTATTTTTAAATTTAATTAGAGTTGACCACTCTGTGTTCACATAGCTTCTTTACATTGCTACATAACCCTTCATGGAAAAGTATGTTCCTGCAGGGAACTTAACACAATTGTTGTCTTTTATTAAGCAATAATGCATGATGATACCAGGTCTTAGTGCCTAGTTCTTTTTAAAGTGTAGATATTATTTAAAATCAAATGATGCATTGAATGATATGGCAAAATGGAAATGTCTAATTCTTTAATTAGAAAGATACAGAAGTAACATCTAAAGTATGAACTAGAGCTTGAAAATTTTGTATGTTCATCCCGGGCGATGAAATCTTAAGCAGTTTATTCCTGCTATTAAAAAGGAGAGAATGAAACCTACATTTGGTAGGAACATCTGAGAGTGCTGATGAATGCCAACAGCTTGGACGGAAAAAATACTAAGAGGACATTATTTTTCATAGCCGGAAGATGGCCAGGTAATTTGCAAAATAATCATTGGCCATAGGTTAGTCCTATATTCCAGAGCAAGTTAGTAATGATTTTGATTGAATCATTATTTGTGAATGAAAATCATAGTCATGTGACTCCAGGGAAAAACATAAACAGTTTGGTTCCACCTGAAGCTATCGCTCACCTGAAGCAAGAGGTGTTGGCTGCTTGCCCAGTCAGCCACATGGCCTGTAGTAATGAACCTGTCCCATCCACCTTTCACTTGCTGAGGCCGGTACTTGATGTCATGTAAATCTGTCCCAAGTTACATTTTGTGATATTGCCCACTACAGAGTGAAGACCCAGAAAAGGTAATATAGTCAGAAAAGTAACCTGAGTCTACACACAGGCCTCTGTGGCAAGACATAAAACATTGTGAGTACATTCTAAAAGACGTCAAAGCACCTCCAGGCTTATCACGTTGCTTTATTGGGCCTTCTGCTTTTTAATGTAGTCATTGCTCATTTTCCCAAGTGCTGCAGGAGCTCATCCCCTGGGAAACGACAAGTTTCGCAGAATGTAGTGCTCCTTCCTGCAACATAAGCTAAAATGGGCGTGGAATACATACATTCTACCCCTAATCAAAAGTTGCCGTTTGGTTCAGCTGATAGCTGTCTACTTAGTAGTGAAAGGGTGAGGCGATTTCTGCTATGGATGAGCACATCACTGAAAAAAAAAAAAAAAAGAAAAACCATGAAAATATAAAAAATAACACCAGAGTTTGGTAGCTCTGGAGTGGCCTCTGGTCTTCCAAATGCGTGTCAACCTCCCATTGGGGTAGTTGATTAACCCCGAGTATGACATGTGGGTCAGAGCCCAGGAGCTGGATGTCACTGCTTGGTGTCGTGAGTTCACAGGAGAAACACAGGCGATGCTGAGGGGTGGGCGTTGTTGATTTTATTGCATGTGGGTCGCTCTGAGTTTTTCAAATGCGACTATGGCTAATTAGAGAGGTACTGGCACAGTGTGGACTGATGAAAAACTGATTACAATTATAAAAGACTTGTGGGGCCAAAGCAGTCTTACATACTGATGCTACTCGTGCTGGCCCCAGCAGCATCTACATGGCTGTCAATTATAATTACGTGGGAAGCAAACTGGGTTTATCACTTCTTCTCCTATAGGATCTATTAGCCCAACCATGTGGCTAACAGCACTACAGAGTTCTACTTTCTTTCCTGTATTTTCCTTGAACAGTTAGACTAAGAAAAAACTCTATCCTATGGAATTCTCCACAGTCCATGACATGGCAGGATTATCTTCTCTAAGTCACTTTTATAAGACTTGATCAGTCTTACAACTTGAAGTCAGTTTCACGTTTGTGTAGTTTTCACCTTGCGGACGTTCCACACGGACAGAAAAACAAAAGCAAGAAAAGATATTGGTTATCCATCAAAAAGGTTAAAAAGGAACAAACAATTTTACTTGGGAGAATTTACTTTCTAGCTGGAGCACACAAAAAAAAGAAGAAAAAAATTATCTTTGTTTAATCCTGCGGGGTGAGCTATTGCAATACAGCATCTAAACACAGTCTGTGTTTGAGTTTTGTCCTCTCAAGAGTATTCTTCATTTGGGAGAAGTGCACTTATTACAACATGTTACAAAAGAGTCTGAATGGGTATTCAAATAACTGCTGTAATGAAAAGATTCTTTTTTTCAAGGACACAACCACAGAGTCTTATACTTATTTTTGCTTTGCTATGGGCATTCTAAAATGACAGAGAGAGTCTCATTTCTGTGTCTCCCCCCCCCCCACTATTTAATTGTTCTGGTTTGTACAGTGTAAAACGATTCTGCAATAATAAAACATTTCAACTTTGTACAGAAGGCAAAGCTTTTCATTTGAAGTTTTTCTTTAACAGGAAAAAAAAATCGAGAAAATGGGCTTGACAGCTTTAGAAAGTTCAAACAATGCCTCTTGCCAAGATACATATTTTGGGAGTTCTCTCTAATTTCAGATTTGGTGCATATGTGTCCTGCGAACGATGAATGCTTTCAATTTCAAAGTTCAGTTTCTTCTTTCTCTGTTCCAATGAATATTCACCATTTAATCAAAATTATTTTTCTAATTGCTTCATAAAAACTTTTTTTCAGGCTGAATGTGAGACCCTCAGCTCTACGTTGTACATTATGGCTCGATCTAAAACAGAGTAGGTCATAAACTCCAAAATGGTACCTGATTGGTAAGAGTAAGAACAAGGGAAAGAAACAAGAAAATGATCCCTTAAAGTAGTAGAAAACTTTTATATTTATGAATTCATAAAAATCCTAGGGGAATCAATTGAGAAGAATTTTTTTTTAAGGAACAAATGAGCAAGTCACGGTTTGGGCTGTGATTATTGTAGTGGGATGTTTAAGGTTGTAATATTTTCTCCCATGGGCATTCAATCTCACTTCAAAAGCTAGTGTACTCTCTCACATTTTCTTTTTCTAATCTATTACCTACATGGGACACCCTCTTTTACGTTGAAAAAATGCATAAGACTAAACCTTTATATTCTCAAGTGTTTGTATATATTTTCCCTATAAATATAATTCTTGGGAAAGCATTCTTCTTTGGCAGAGCAACAGAAAAGTGGAGAAAAAAATAAACAATTTTTTTTGAGAATAAATTTAACTATCAGGGGTGAAAAGAAAGACAATCCTATTAAGTTCTGTGATACCTCACAAAGGCTCTTGTAGCCATGCTAATTTCAAAGTTGCCTACACAAATAGAATAAGGAAAATGCATGTGGCCAAGCAGTTGAAATTTGTAATTGTGAAATTTTAAGATGATTACAATAGGATTCCATTCAAATCAGGAATGTCAGTTGGTATTTCATGAAAACACCTAAACCTATAACAAAAACTTCCTTCAATTTTAATGTTTTAAAATTTTTGACAAGCTGTTTAAAAGACTTGTTTAATTATTCATAGAAAAAAATTATCTCATAGATCTCTTAAGAAAAGTTGCTTTTAGATATTATCTACAACTGAGTTAACACAGAGAGGAAAACCCACAACAGTGCTGGGCCAGGATTGCAAAGACCTAATTAGTATCATGCTATAGAAAAACAATGAAGTGATTTTGTCACCAATTACTGGCAATTAGCCTAAGTACAACAGTTAATTTCATGGAAATAAAACCACTATAAAATGAAAGGAACAAAACCTATCATAATTAATGGCATTTGCCTGCATTCCTCTACTGATTATTTAATTAATGAACCATAAAAGTTTGAAGCAATTTGAACAGCTCAACACATGTGCAAAATCCTAGTCTATCTAGATTTTCTGATTTTTAAGCATCTACAGAAGGAAACAAGTAATTTAGTACAGAATTGTGTACATACCTTGAATTTAAAGATGTCATACTTTCAGAGCATGCATCTGTTAAACAACACACTCTAGTATATTAAGTTACACAGATATATCTTGTGAGAACTATATTCTGTTAATGATGATTCTAGATACAGAGGACTGATTTTCAGTTATTGTAAAAATGTTACAATGTTGAGAGTTCCTAGTTTCCCTTGTTATTTTATCTAAATTTTTCTCTCCACTTGCTCTTACGTGGTTTTTCTAGCACGACACTGTGATCTGAGCTCATGAGCACTGGAATGTCCACGCGAGTGAGCCCACATCAGTTTCATCCCCTGCCTTCACTCACTCTGCCCCAAGTTTCAGTGTTACAGGGCCACGATGGGTCCCAAGGTCAAATCAAGCTTTAAAATGTTGGTCTAGCTTCTCCTAAAGCTAGAAAGGACTCAGATCGCAAGGTGCCTACCAATTAATAAAATTAAAACAATTCCAGGTCGGTGACTTGCAAAGCTGAACTTCAAAAAAATGCAGCCTTGCAAATAATGTTTCCAGTTTCAACAAGTTCAGAAAACAAAATTTTAAAAACCTAACAAAACGTCTCTACAGACCATTGCTTAATGACCAGCCAAGTGGATTTTAAAACTTTAGGTACACAAATAAACATTTTAGAGGTTTTGTGGCCACGCAGAGATAAGATCCTCTCTGGGGAGACGACTAGAAACTGCTGGCCTCCTTTGTGCAGACTCCTGGAATGTGCTTGCTTTTCATTTCTTTCTTTGTGTCTGGCACACTGGCCTCACAGGCAGTGTCTTAAGCCATGCAGGGTCAGGGCGAACAGAGAGCTGCATTCATGGACAGATCAAGTTTATGTGAGAATCTGCTCCTCCACTGCCCTCAATCTCCATATGAATTGTTAATAAAATCTCAGCCTGAAAGCTCATCACCCCAACAGTGGGGAAGTCATGCAGAGAATCCTCTCTCGTTCAGAAAAACAAGATTTCTTTATCTTTTTTATCCTTCGCCAGTATTCGTGGGAATTCTGCCATGTAACCTCCTCCTGAACCAACCCCCACACCCCCAACACCGCACTCCTCTCTGCCACTTTCTGGGTTGCACCTGATCGTTGGGAAAAGCGGGGAGCCGAAGGACAAAAGAAGCATTCTGACAGCCACAGCAAATCCCCCAGAATATCAACTTTGCCGCCGCAATACTTGGCTGCTGTAAAAACCTTCAGGCGAAAGGAAATATCAATACTTAATTTTTTCCAGTTTGTGTCAACCAGCTGGAAAGACTTTCGCATAGCTTTATGACATCACATGAACTAGAGAGCCACAGATAGAATAAAAGGTCACAGATAAAGCCAAGAACAGAGTCCTACCCTAATTAACTTGATATCTCCATGCAAATACTGGACAGGAACAAGCCCCGGTGTGTTGCAGGCAATCTTCTTCTAACCTTGCTACAGTCTAGCTGGGCCTCTTGTTTCCTCTGCTTTTGCTCCTTGCAAACTGTTTTAATATCGAACGCTTTTCAGAGGGATGGGCTGATGAACGAAAACATGAATTTCCTGCTTGCCCTTTAAGGTGGGTTAAAGGGGGTGCTAGCAATCAATTACAGAACAAAAGAACAAAAAAAAAAAATGACTT